TGCAGATTTGGGGTGGGGGTAAGCAACAGGCCAAACATTCTTAGGAAGTACAGCAGGGGGACCCAGAGCCACAGCCTGTGCCAGAAGGCCCGTAGGGAGAGGACAAGGGCATGGGTCCCAGGAGGACAGGCAGGAGTCTGAAGCAAGATTTAGGAGTCCAGAAGGAGGGGTGATACTACTAAGGGACCTCTCTTTATAGAAAGTAGCCACATCTGTCTGCTGGGTGCCATAGGCATCAAACCCTAAACAGGAGGGGCACCCAAGTAGAATGAATGATCCTGGGAACAAATAATGGTGCATGGTGAAAAGCACTCTCCATGATGCCCTACAGAGAGGGCACCAGGACAAGGGACTCCTAGGCCTCCATGTGCAAGTAAAGACCTATAAAGTGACGGAGAGCTGGCCTGCCAGTGGAGGTGCAAGGTTAAAGGGTGTGCACTGCCTGCTGTAAGAAGAACGGACTCCTGAGGGGAGACTAGGAACAGACTGGAGGTTGGGTAGGGACTCCAGCAGTGTGGAGGCCAGGTGTATAGCTTCTCCATCAAACATCTACTAGGCCTCCTCCTTGGAAGACATTGGTTTCTTACAGAGCCAAACCAATGACTACCACATGACCCGTGGGACTATATATTCCAAAGACTGAAACCATGTGCACCAACAAAATAAATCAAGAATGAAACTTGAACTTCATCCACTGGGTCCCTGACATGCTTTACCCTCAAAAGTAGGAAGAGCTGTGCCCAGAGAGGCTTGCTGCATGGTCCCAACTCAGCTTGGGTTTCCCTGCCAGGGACTGTCATAGTACCAGTGGGCATGGACGCTTTCAGGAAGCAGCCTTACTACTGTGACATGTCCTATGGGCAATACAGGGCCCTGTGACATGGGTCACACTGTGTGAACACAGGTATGGGTGTCCCATCACCACTGCTGTTTCTACGGTCTGTTTCCTAGTCTCCCTTGAGCAGTACTTCTCTTCCTCTTGCAGGAAGTGGTTCATTTCCTCCCTCAGTCCTGCAGCGTCACCTCCAGGCCAGCTCTATCACTATGGAGGCAGGACACAGCAGTGAGGGTTAACTAACTGATCACTGCAGTGTAGCAAGGAGCTAGGGCTTCCTGGTCTAGGACAGGGATTGAAAGGGTGTGGGGGTTCTAGCTCCTGGTCACCCCGGGACCTGACTCCTTCCTGAGTGCACCCCAGAACCCCACAAGTGTGGCAGTGCTGCAACATGCTATCTCAGGAGCAGCACGTGGCAGGCTACTGAAACACCCAATGGACACAACTGGTCCTCAAGCCTGGATCCTGAAAGTGCCATTACTATTCCAGCCGAGGAGAGTCAGAGGTTTCTATGTGCCTGAACCCCATAAGAGAACAAGACCAGGCCGGGTGGTGGTGGCACACACGTTTAATCCCAGCACTTGGGAGGAAGAGGCAGGTGGATCTCTGTGATTTTGAGGCCAGCATGGTCTACAGAGTTCTAGAATAGCCAGGACTGTTTCACAGTGAAACCCTGTCTTGAAAAAAACAAAGAGAACAAGACTAGCAGGCAGTCCCCAAGGTGGCTACTCCCCTCCCCAACCCACTTTCCAGATCTCTTTCCAGCCTCTGTCCCAGGCAGGGCTCCCTGTCCTCTGGCCAGAACCCTGGTGTCAGGGGAAAATGCAGAGGCTGCACATTCAACTTCCCTGGGACCTCTGGCAGCCTCCCAGGGATCACAACCCTCTTGGGTGATCTCCCACAAAGACTTTTGACTCCTGAAAGCAGGGACCACTGCCTGGGCATGGGCCAGGTTGTCACTGTCCTGATGATGGTCCTCAATAAGGAAGATGCCTTTTGGGCATCGGCCCAGCTGCCAACCCACTCATGAGTGGCATACCGTCCAAGTCCAGTAGTCAGCTTCCCATGGCACCAAACAGCCAGGCTGGGTGACAGCCATACTGATTAAAGATGGCAATTTACAGTCACAGCACCTTCCCTTCCCTACTTGTTCTGAACCACTAGACTGTCTGCTGTGGTCAAAGCACCCAGACCTGTCAAACGACTCCCTCACATCCCTCATCAGCCAAGAACCCTCTATGCATAAGCAAACCAGGTGATGTGTTCCAGTCAGTCATTCTGCATCTCTCACCATCTATGGCCAAAATCCAGAGACATCATCAGCCTAACCATGTCCTCTTCTCATCCTGAGCCCAAGAGACAGCCACAAACCTCCAACCCTGTCCTTGTCCCCTACTAGCTTCATGGGCCCAACAGACTGCACAAACTCTATCTGCCATAGTGTGCCTCAAAGGCTACCCTGCCCTTCAGGAACCAGGACAGAGGAAGGTAGCAAGTCCAGCTAGGACTTGTGTGGGTGTTCCTCCTTCCTTCTCTGAGGCTGCAGCTGCATAACGGGGACGCAGAGTACAATGAAGGGAAGCCTCAGGTTCCTGGGGCACCTGCTACTGTCCCCAAGCCACGGCTCCGCACCTCTGGAACAAGCTCTATTAGTCGGTTATAGGCTCTCAGGAATCCGCAAATGGTTCCAGCCACAACCTTTTAGCTCTTGGCTTATGAGAATGAGGTAAAAAAGCATGAGTGAGTGAAGAGACCTGCCTCATCCCCAGAGGCGCTGGGCTGGACCTGGAATAAAGAGGTTTGGGAGCCAAGATGAGCAGGAGACTCTGAGGAACTCAGGACAGTAAGGAGACCCCAACTGTCCAGGAATCCTGCAGTGTTAGAGTAACGAAGAACAGACAGGCAGGACCTTCCTTGCTCCACAGTAACAGTCTCCCAGTCCAGGGGTGTAACTGTCCCGGAGCGCCACAGCTTCCAAGAAGGCCAGGAGAGTCCATATCTAACAGGAGAACTAGGCCATAGACCTCCTGCCTTCCTGCCACACAACCCACAGCACAAGTCAGAGTTCGAGCAAGTGCCGTTGGCAGACCCGGCCAAGACAGAACCAGGGAAACTCTGAGTCTCGGCAAGCCCCTTATCCCAGGGTCATACCTGCTAAGTCCAGCCCTGAGCAGCTACAAGCCTGATTAACAGCCTCATGGAATCACCTCTACAGAGAACCAGAGGTTGTGTGTAGCCATTGGTCCACCCTCTCATGCCTGCTGTATTTGCAGACGTCAAGCCCCCTGAAGCTCTGGGATATCTACATTCTGGAGGATGAGGTTGTGGGTCATGACCATGGTAAAAACCAGCCCTCGATATACATGGAAGTCACTTCTCAAGTATCCAAGACAGATCTTGGCTCGCAGTGGGCCACACTCAGACCAATCATTTGTGTTACCTCTCCAGCCCGGAGTGAGCCAGCCACAAAGGGTGGGCCAGACCAGCTGTGGTCAGCTGGGTAGGGTGCAAGGTATTGTCCCATGCCCTAAACCCACCCCCCATACACAGATAAAAGAGCTGAGGCTATTTTCCTGGCAGGATCTCTCTTTGGCTGTTGTCTTGTGTATACAGCAAGACCAGAGTTAGAAACAAAGGGCACAGTAGCCTTAGCAAGATGGACCTGGGCACAGGCAGGACATGGACGATGACCTTTCCCAGGGCCCAGCCCAGAGTTGAACTCCGTACCTTTTGAGAACCTCCTGAAGCCTCTCTCTTTAGGCTGAACCACACAATGCTAAAGTATCTTCAGGCCTCCATTGTGGAGTCTTGAACGATGGACTGTGACATTTTTCCCATATTAGCTCCAGTGTGAGGTCTCTTCCCAGGGCAGGCAAGTCTAGGCCCCACAGGTTCTACAGCCATATTTCCCACCCTACTGCTTCCAGCAGAAACACTAAGCTCCTGTCCACCCTTACAGTCATAGCCCAGAATGTGCCCAGCCCACTAAAACCCCCAAACAGGGCCAAAGACAACCACTAGCATAGCAGGCCTTGTCTCCAACCCACCTATGACCAACATAGCTCCAAAGGAGCCACTGAAGCTCCAGATACCTCAGGAGCCTCAGATATACGTGGACAGAGAAGCTGAGCATTTGGCTACTGTACAAGAGTACAAGTGGGGTGTCCCACTAACCAACCTACTCAGCAGCAGGCCCTATATCATGCCTATGGGAGACCCCTTATATCGTAAGTGTTCTCCCAAAGAGGGAGTTCACCCAATTCCACCCAATTGAGAGGGTAAAGCGTACCCACCAAGGGCCCCAGCAGCCATGATGAGAACCAGAACGAGGAAAGAGACCCTCCTATAGCCATGACCAGTGCTAGAATGAGGCCCTGGGCATGGCCCTTTAGGAGCAGGGAGCAGCTACCTGGCAGTCATGTGCCTCTCAAGATCATACAGGTAGCTGGGCAGCAGTGGCACAGGCCTTTAATTCCAGCACCTGGGGGCAGAGGCAGGAGGATCTCTGTGAGTTCAAGGCCAGGCTGGTCTACAGAGCTAGTTCCAGGACAGCCAGGGCTGTTACACAGAGAAACCCTGTCTCAAAAACTGAAGAAAAAAAAAAGACCAGACAGGTGACTTGGAGAACATCTGTACACTTCAGAGAGGTGGTAGGAACTGGTAAGGCAGTTTTTACCCTCTCAAGGAGTTGAGATTGCCAGGCTCACTGATGGGACAGAGGCCTGAGGCCACACAGAAAACACTAGGGTCCTATTTCCAGAGTCCCCCATCATTGGTCAGAGGGATGCAGGATACTAGGACAGGGCAGGTCTTATACTCTGCAATTCTTGGGGCTATATTTCACGGAACCCAGGATGCAGGAAATGTGTTTCCTGCTGGAGACAAGGGATACCCCCTTACTCTTAAGCCCCCCTCCTCCCATTACTTGAAGGACAATAGGTCACTTTTCATATCACCTGACTATTCTTGAGTTGCCTAATGCTTTCTGCAGGAAACATAGACAGCTGGCGCAGGCAGAAGGAAAGGGCCATACAGTCCAGGGGCCCAGGCTGGCCACCCCAGCCTCTTCTCAGAAATAAGAATAAAGCAGACGATGAGGCCCAGGTTCCCAGTATCTTCTGTGAGGCCACAGGCACTACACCTTCTACTCCCAGCCAGAGACAAGTCAAGACCATCAAATAATTTACTGTGATTCAACCTGTGCCCCATAGGCACCCGGAGGGAACTGAAAGGGGTTGAGGGCTGGGGTGCCAGGGGCAATAGGGACAGTTCATGACAGTCAATTCAAATTGTCCATGCGAAGGTCTTGGTCATCTCTGTCCACCATCCCTGGACTGGACTGGCTCCAGCATCGCTTCCTTCCTTCCTTCCCTCCTCTTTCCTTCCTTCCGTCTGTACCTCCTCCCTGCATCCGGCACCTCCACGTCCTGAGCCTGTGCCGAGATAGGCACAAAGGACACCACTGACCGCAGGCAGGGGGATTGGCAGGATGGGGGGGAGCAGGGACATCAGAGTGGATATGAAGTTCATCTGGCTAGCTGGGGCCACTGCCCCAGACGTCTGCTGGTCCCTGCCTCACCTGGCGTCAGGATAGCACACACTTGCAGCTCATGCAGCCAGGGCCACTTTCATCAGGAGGGTTCAGCTTCCTCAGTTTATGCTGCCGGATCTCACGTACTAGCGTATAGAAGGCATCCTCCACACCCTGGGAACAGAGGGGCTGGATCAGAGGGTACTCTGAGGATGAAATAGGTGCTATCTGGGTAAGAAACTCCCTGCCTGGATCAAGAAACACCCCGATCCTGGAAAACAACCCTTCCTCAGCTGCACAACCAACACAAATAGGGAGCTGGGCTCTGCACATCTAAAAGGCACAGGGTATTCTCCTTAAGCAGACTCACTCCAGAATATCCTTGAGAAGTCAGAGCCATTCAACTGAGGACTCTCCCAAGCCCCCAGTATGGCTCAGGTATGAACACCCTGACCACACTTAAGGACACAAAACTAGCAGGTACCCATAACTATGGGGACAGGAAGAACTATGCCCCTGGGTCACCGCTCCGGCCTGGCTCAGGGCAGCTCTCTCCATGGACCCCCTCTTGCCCTGGTGCTGTGTCAACTCAGAACTGCAGGGCATAAGCCCAGACCCTGGCCCTTGCCTCCCTCATAGCCCTACCATCTGGGAGACTTACAGCATGGGGGCCGCTGGGTCACATGGGTCCCGGGGGGTCCCAGAGGGTCCCGGAGCTGGAGCCAGAGCCAGAGCGGCTGCCCTGTGTTGAGGGAGAGGGCGATGAGCTCTGCTCCCTGGCTGGGGTAGGGTGGGGTAAATCCCTGACTAGCTGCAGAGAGTGAGGAGCAAGCTCACCTGCCGGGTCTTAGCTGATGTTTCGATGTAGGGGATGCCATAGCTG